AGATGTCCAGAAATCACAAAAACCTGCTTAAATGTTATTATAGAACCACATAAAATGAACACAACCTAGAACATCTAAAAAAGCACAAGAAGTTGCCTCATTTACCCCAAAAACTTTGAGAGAGCCTTAAACCGCCTAAACTAGCATCCTGCGCATCATCAAAGATCCAAAGAACTGCATCTTTCACTTTAGGAACATTCTAAATCCCTTAACCTCCTAAAAAACCCGACCTAACCCGTGTTGGACCCTGCAGACTGACCAGGGTGAAGCGTTCAGACAGCGCTTTGAGTGCCGGAGATGACGGGATTCTCATCGACGCCGCCATCGTCTGCAGGTTTGACGTTTGACTCAAAGATCCGAGGGTGAAACTCTGAGGAGGACACGAAGATGTTAGGAACCAAAGAAGAGGAGAAAATGCTTCAGAGAGCCGAGCAAACAGATCTTTTTACCTCTACATTAGCGGCATGGGCAGCAGAAATGTCCTTCAGGATTTTCTCACCCAGCGTCTTCGCCTGCAAGGCCGTTTCTCTGAATGGAGGCGAACCGACAGGAGCTGATCGGACTAAAGATGCAAACAGGAAGTAGTGTAGCAGGAGGGTGACTGGAGGAAGAAATAAAATGTAATTAGTCTTTAAATCAGCATCATACCCATTATTTTACACAGCAAACAAAAGGATAGAAATAGAATAGAATAGAACTTTATTGATCTCACAATGAAGAAATTTACTTGTGACATCAGCTCTTATAAAAAACAGAAGGTGCAGAAAGGAGGAAAAAGTTCATGAAGTAAATACTGCGCATCCAAATATATATAGTGGAAAATAAAGAATTTTATCCACTATACCTTTTATCTAAAGCTAATTTGTTAGCAAAGGCTGCAGGACAGTATAGTTTGTCTTTATTTAAAAATATGGATGTTTTACTCCTTAATTTTGTTGGAACAGAGTAGATTGACCCTAAAGGTTCTGGCGCCGATCCGCTTTCAACCCCTCAGGCTAAATTGGTTATTGTCTGGTCACCCTTATAAAAATGCTCTGGCTACGCCTCTGCTTATATATACATTATCTTATGTACAGTTGGATGGATGAATGGTTAAATAGATATATAGATATAAGTTAAAGCATTGTAAAGTCTGATGACTCATTAAAGAGTGGGAATGCCTGATGACTGATCCGATTAAAAAAAAAAGGCTGAAGGTGAGTCTCCGATTTAGGATTTCGACACCTGAAAATATGAAAAACCAAAGAAAATAAAACTGGAAATGCCACAAAAAATCCGGCTTCATTTGACTTTCAGCATAAAGCATCATTAAAGCTGAAACTTCCCACCGGATCAGAAAACAGTGAAGATATTTAAGCTGAACTGAAACCCGGCTGTAGAGCAGCGCCTCCACCTGAGAAGGTTCAGGAAGTTCAGGATTAAAGTGCTGGGCTGGTGGTTCTGCTTTCAGAACCCAAAGGAAAAATGTTAGTAAATCAGAAAACATCCATGGCTGCAGGAAGTGGGGGGTGCTGCAGCACCCCCTACTGGCGAGAAGGAGAAAATTTATAAAAAAATGCTTTGCACAATTTAGACATTTCTTATGAATATTTTGGGAAATTATTTTGATTTGGTTTGTGGAGAACTTTTCAGTAAAGTTTAAATAGTTTACTAATATAATTATTTCTTTATGGTTTGCTTATAAGAGTTTTGGACATAAACACAGAGACTCAGCTTCCTGCCAGCTGACCCAATCTACTGTGAAGTTTAATTAATACCCGAGAACTGAAGTGTTTATAACAATAAAGTAGTGAATCTCAATCTGTTTACTTATTTATTTTTATTGTATATTGTATGTTTATTATATTTAAATAGTTCTATAGGCTGAAAGGTCTTTTAAACTTAAACTTGCCATTGTAAATAGTAATAGCATCAGTAAAGCATTTCCTCCCATTCTGCACAGACAGCAATTTAACATTAAAAATCACAATAAACCAGAATCTGAGGAGGTGTTGCTGAAATCTTTATAACTTCTACTGGCAGTTTTTCCACTATAGGAGATTCAAAACCTGAAATTATGGATTTTAGTTTCAGGGGCCTCCCTAACATTTTTAGTGGCCCCATCTGGCTCCCCTATGAAACATTTCTGCTTCCAGCGGCCCTGAAAACATCTGAGGCTCTTTTCATGTATTGCTTATAAATCAATTGATTAATAATTAACTAACATTTAGCTTCCAGCCTCCCAGACCAGACCAGAACCGGAAGCGGTCCTCAGACCCCTGCGCCTGTCACGTCCCCCCCTCTCCCCCCGTGGACCTACCTGTCCAGGTGTCCATGTCTGTCAGGGCGGCCGTGTTGGTGTCAGAGAGCTTCTGCTGCGCAGCTCCGGAGTTTCTCCTCCAGCTTCCATTTGGACTTTTATCTGCGCTCTGCTGCGCTGCGGGGTTTTCCATCCAGGGGAGTCATACCGTAAACCCGGAGTTACGAAGTCTCTAAAAAACCTTTTGCGTCATAGCTGTCCGCAGCAGGAACGGAGCGCCGCGCCGACATGCAGGGTGGAGGGGGGGCTGGCAGGTAAATCACGTGACTGCGCACCTTTGGCTGTGGACTCTGAGCCCAGGTTCACAGGGACTGAAGGTGTTTATACAGCAGACAGACCGGTGACCCCCCCCCCCCAGGGGGCCTCACCTTTCCTGGAAGGTCACTAATTTCTTTTTCCTCGCTGTGTTTCAGGAACCTTTGATTTAAATCTCTTCAATCTGTTCATTGTTTTTCATCCTTACCTGCAGGTTTGATTATTTCATTAAAATATGAAACTTCTGGATAAATCTGATGAAACTCTGTTTGTAGAGCAGCAGAACATGAACCACAGGTCATGCAAAAAATAAAAATAAAATAAACAATCAAATGGACTTTGTTTCCGAGTTTGAAGGCGTTTCTATTTACATGTTTTCTAAACTAAAACCAGGCTTTGTTGGGCTGCTGGATAAAACCTGGAACTAAAAGCTATTTCTGACATTTTTAATTAAAAAAAACTTCCTGGATGGAAGAGAAACGTCTTCAAACTTGGAAACAAAGTCCAGTGGATTGTTTTTAACTTTGATTTTTAGTAACTTTGACCTGAATGACAGAGAATCCTCATCAGTAAATGAAATACAGGTTTAATAAGAGAAAAGAAGCAGAGTGGAAGCTCTTTTTTTCGCCATCTGCTCTCTTTTATTGGTGCTCCATAAATAAACAGGAGGGATCCATCCTGCTCCTCCTGATGCTTCGTGTGTTCATGCAGATGCATTAGTACTCTGCTGGTTCTCCATCGCTGAAACACCTCAGGAAGCTGCAGCCACTGCTGTGCTGCACGGCGGCTCTGCAGAAACCAGCAGGACAAGCTGTCCTCCAGGAATGAGAACTTCTAGGAGTTCGGAGAAAGCAGCTATGCCTCCAGCTGGATTCTGAAAACACAAACTCAGAGGTGGCCTCGGGGCCCGATGAGGGTCGGCTGGTGGTGGAAACCTACAGCAGTAGTAGTGTGAGTGTCATCCTGGGTGTGTTTGTCTTCCTGTGTGTCATCATATGTGTCGATTTTTAAGAAATCCTGGAAGACTGTGAGTCAGCAGGAAACTTGAACGGTT